AATATGTTGTTCCCACTACTAGACTAAAGAAAATAAGTGGTTCGTTTAGATGTCAGAGCATACTATTACGCTTTTACAATAAAATTCCCAGCCATATCCAAAATTTGAGTCTAAATAAATTTAAAAATGTCATTAAAGATAAATTTTATTGTAAAGCTTTTTATAAAATAAAAGACTTCCAAGGTAATCCGTCCGTCTGGCTTGGGAATAAGCTGCTGTATCGTCCACACAGGTCTTGTTGACATGTTTGTACCATATAGTTACATTTCTTTTTTATATGCAATTTGACATTACTGTTTTAATGTGACATTGTTTTTCATTTGAAAAAAATGTTATATGTTGTTCTAACTTGACATTTACTTTTTATTTTACAACTGTTAGTGCTAGGACCGCGCGAGACTTTGCCTCGCCATTTCTTTTCTAATTACCCATATTTTGATAATTTGAGTATTTGTGCGACCCACGCAAATGTTCTTGAGGTTGGTATTGTTCGTCGAATCAGTCAGCCTCACCTGTTAATTGAGCTGACTGTAAACCGACACATGCGTACTGCCTTCAGAACGGGTCCGCTCAAACTGTTGTGGTTCTTTCCTCAAAAGCCCACTACAGAAATAACTGGCACGGTTCTCACACTTAATTTGTTATACATATTGTCTGGACTTTAAAAGAGACTGACCTTTGAGTTTTTTTCGGCATTTCTTCTCAGAGTATTCAGTTAGGAAATGTCGACCTCATCGTTCGCTTGATAAAATTGACATGTAAAAGAGCTGCCTTGTAGCCTATTTGCAGAAATAAATTCACTTGTTTCACTTGCAACCACTCGGCCAACGAGGCAGTCACAATAATTTGATGCACCTGTTCTTTACACTTAGAAACGAGACATCTATTTTTGAAACACACATGTATAGTTATTCCGTTTAGGATCAAATCCGATAGACGTTACAAAGCTGCTGTAGTAGCCGTGCATCACCACCACCGATTTAATCTACCCTGTAAAAGGGTCACTCAGTCTCTCACTGATGGATAAATCTGTTAAGGTCCAGCTCAAACTAGTACCTATCGAGTTTAAATCGAGATCACTATCTAACTTCACGATATCTTTCAGATGAACTTGTTTTTCTTTCTTTTGAATGGCAACCGAGTGATGAACTTAAGTTTTCTAAGATAGAATTAAAAAAGTCGAGGAGATTATAAAACTTCGTATTATATTCGTTGTACATTCGTCATATATTGATTCTTTATTAAGATGTTAATTATATAATTACAAGCTTAATTGGTTATAACTTAGTTCATATTGATTTTATTTTATTTTTTACTTAATACAACAAATGTGTACTTAATTTACATACTAAATGCTTAACTTTAAGGTGGACTTAATGCCTTGGGCAGTGTCTCCCAGTTAACCTTTAAGTAGTGCAGTTATGAAAGCAGCAGGTTATTAAGTAACCGTTTTAAACAGGCAATGTGTATATGAAAATTAATAACGACTGTTATTTTTCAGAAATTATTATAAACTAAAGTATTACATCTGATATTTAAAAAAAAGTATATAGAGGTAATATGTCTTTTGCAGTTGATCGCAAATGCTAATACTGAATTAAGAATTGGGATGATGACAGGGTATGAAAATTAAAAATCTAATTAATCCGTAAGTTAGGTAATGAAAAAATATTAGACACGCATTTTTTTTATTTTGTCTTAAAATAAAACAATACATATATAAAACGAATCAAAGTTTACGGGGCTAAAACGTATTTTAGCCCCCACTCCTACACTTTGATTCACTATAATATTTTTTTATATTTTTATAATAATTTGATACACGTAAAAAATGTACATAGAAGTGACGTTTTAAATCAATGTATCGTCGAAAGTATACGTTTCTGTAAGAACATAAAAAATACGTGTCTAATGATTTAAAATAATCTAAAAAACGGTCATTAAAATAAAAATTAAGATTTACCCTATTAAAAATGTGTAATTTATAATATAATTTATAATTGAATTATGTTCAAAGCTCAAGTGATACCCATCCACCTTTACTTTAAAACTCCCGTTTATAGAAAGCCCTAACATAGGTTGTCGAATTGTATTTAATTTTTCTCGAATTTGTATTTTTTCGTAATAATTTTAAATTTAACCGATATGATGTTGTTTTGTTGACTATTTACGTTTTTTTAAATGAATTAATTTGTATACTTTTGTATTTATGATTAAATATATTTTTTAAATTATGTAGGTAATTTTTTTTTTTTTTTTTTTTTTTATTTTTTTTTAAGGGGGGAAAATCATCGAATGACTGCCCCCGCCTGGGTGAGGCGGGAGGGAGTGTCAGACTCTTACTGACTAAAAACCACCCCGTTCCTTCTCCTGCACGTCGAGCCGGAGCCCCGGTTACCCGTTAGGTTCTCCGCGACTCCGAATCGGCATCGGCCCTATTGGGCCCCATCTGTGGTGGTCTGATGGCTCTTTGAGGCGCGCGCGGAACGCGACGCGCCGTACGCTCGGGTCTGTTTCTGGTCGGACGGGGAGCCACCCATGCTCGCCGTCCGCAGGCCCGCGCTTACGGTGGCCGGAGATCGTCCCGCGATCCCCGACGCCCGGTGTGTCCTTCGCGATGGCTGGGTTGCGAGGAGGCAGCGCTTCGCTGCCTCACGCGTCCCGCCTCCTCCTTAGCTAGCATGACTGCTTCGCAAAAGGAGGAGACGGCATCCCAATCCCCCTCGCTCCGCATCATGGCCTGCACTAGGCCCGGACGCGAGAGGTCGCCATCGCCGATCACTTCCCTGAGGACACGGCGGTGCTCAGCCCACGAAGGGCATTCTCCCACCGTGTGTTCCACCGTGTCCTCAGGGCGGTCCTCGCAGTGATGACACCCGGGCGTTTCCTCCCGCCCCATCAGACACAGGTACCTCCCGAAACTTCCATGTCCGGTGAGGACCTGCGTCAGGCGGTAGGTGAGGACGCCGTAGCGTCTCTCAAGCCACTCCTCAAAGAGGGGACTTACCGCTGCGATGGCAGCGAGCCCAGCCCTCGGTTGCGACAGTCGTTGCTGCCATTCCGCCATGAGATCGCGCCGGAGCTCATCCCGCCACGCACTTATCTGGCGCGGCAGCGGAGTTTCGCCCCGGCGACGTGCCTCCGCGCGCATGCTGTGCACGCGCGCGAGCACCTTCGCCTCCAGATCCCACGGCGGTAATCCGGCAAGGAGGTTCGCCGACTCCCCAGAGATCGTGCGGTATCCGCGGATCATTCGGATCGCCATGACCCTCTGTGCCATGAGCAGCGTCCGAGCGGGACGCCGCAACAGGTTAGGCGCCCAAACAGGGGCGCCGTAGAGGGCCATGGACCGCACGACCCCGGCGTATAACCTCCGGCAGGAGGCGTTTGGCCCCCCGAGGTTGGGGAGGATGCGTTTAAACGCAGCCCCCGTCCTCTCCAACTTTGGAGCCAAACGTCGGAAGTGTTCAATGAAGTTCCACCGACTGTCGAGGACGAGTCCTAGGTACTTCATCGTCGTCTCGACGCCGATGGTAACTCCTCCCGCCGTTATTTGGGACCCACCCGGAGGTGGCGCGTTCCCGCGGCCATGAAAACACATGGCCTCGGACTTGTGGAGCGCCACCTCGAGTCCCAACTGCCGGATTCTCTCAACGACTGTCGCAACCGCTGTCGCCATTAAGTCGGCCGCCGCCTGGTGTGACCTCCCGTGCGCTAGCACCAGCGTATCGTCGGCGTAGCATATTGTGCTAACGCCGTTCGGGAGGTCGGTGCGCAGCACCCAGTCATAGCCGATGTTCCACAGGAGCGGCCCCAGAACCGAACCCTGTGGAACACCGCGTGACATTTCTCGCCGGTTCCACTCGCCCCGGTGACCGGGGTAGCTGACGGACCTGTCCGTCAGGTAAGCCTCGATCACACGACGGAGGTAGGTAGGCACCCCATGATATAAAAATGTGGAACGCTTCACGATTTTGCGTGTCATCCTTGCGCAGGGGCCATGCTAATCTTCTCTGTATCGTTCCAATTTTAGTATATGTACTGCCGAAGCAAGTACAAATTATGTAGGTAATATGAATTTTCTTACAATCTATAAAAAAGAACAATTCACGTATAATCTTATAAAACTCGATAGCTCAACGTTACACTAATCATACAACACTAAACTAATCATAAAACACGATCCCATTTGAATATCGAAACGATACAAAACAAAACTGCAATGAAACTTAATTATGTCAGAAAATTCCAGAGAACACCTATAGGAATGCTCCTTAACAACACACGCACCGCGTTAATCGGGGTAACCTTTCATTTGACAGTTCAATGTTGGCCACTAGGTCACTAAAGAAAAATCGATAACTTCTGTCAAAACTGTCAAAAGCCGACTCCAGGTTTCGGAACAACCAGCAGTGATTCCCCCTGTAACGTCTATGGTACGTAGCTTCACTCGTATAAACACAATACTTCTACTAAGCACGTGTAACACCCCTACATAATGAACTAGGGCTGACAAAGCGCACGTCACACAATGACAGGCTATGTGTTTACTGTTTACGCGTAGGGTTGTTACGCATTTACTATTCATAAACGACCCAACACAAACGACTAGCTCTACTCAATCACCTCATTATGCAGTATTTTAAGCAAAGTCTTTATTTTTTCTGTAGTTGACTAAGACGCGTTCTAGTATCGAGCCGGTACACTCAAAGTGTGTTTAGAAGGGGTTTTGTTAAACCTCGGCCTTTTGGGGTGCGAGTCTTGTTAAACTTGTAGGAAGGGGATCTTGAGAAACAGAACATTTCTCGTCTTAGCTCGTTTATATCCGAAAGAGGTATAAGAACACATTTGAGATAAATGCTTTCAACAAGAAATTCATTTCATTATTAGATGTGTTAATGTTTTTTTTTCTTTTTTTGATTAGGCTAACTTTTTTTTCATAAGACAATCGTTTAAGTAAAAAACCAACTACATACTTTATGGTGCGTTTGTCGTGGTAGGGGTGGACCCGCGTCATGCGCGGTGTAGTCCCGTAGGGCGAGCGGACGCATTCGGCCGCGGCAGAGGGCGGAGACGCGTCCGTGTGGCGGCATCGATCCGCTAGTTCCTCGTGGTCTCGAGTCTCAGTCGCCGACAGTCCGGCGACGAGCATCAACATGCAACCACCGCCGCGGAAGGTAAGTCCCGACCCCCTGCTGGACTCACAACCTCCTGCAACTCCTTCCAAACCTCACACAAACTTTACAAAAGTGCCGCAGAACTGTGAATGAAGTACTTCCCTGAACGCGTCAATTTTCTCTTCGCGTGTTACTATCAAATTATATAACTTTACTGTTATGTTTGTATTTTAATGAGTGAGGGCAACGGATCCTAAATTTTTCAGGGATGGATTTACATAAATAAAAATTTAGATTTACAATTTCTTGGAGCATTTATACAAAAAATCTTAATGCAACGTTGTTCTGATTAAATACCAAGCGTAGGTGAGAACTTAATCAATAAATGCCTAATCTGATATAAACAGGCCGTAGCGATGGTAAACACTTGTACAGATTTTAATTTGTAAATAAAATCTGTACGAGAATGAATAAAGTTTTCGTAAGTTTCCAAGAGAAATAATATATTTAATTCAGAAATTTGGTGACATCTGCATAGCTTATTCCGAGGATTGCCTGATATTTGTGTTTTTAGAAAAGGTACACGTTATTATGATACAAACCCAAAACCTCAACGTGTTCCTGTATACAATAAAATCCAAGTTCTGCGGCACTATATCTTGAATATTTTAATGTGTTTATTTATTTACAGTGATTAAAACTATCAAACGATTATCATTAAATTCAGATTCATTATTTGTGAATTTTATTTCTCTCGACATTAATTATAAATTAATTTGACTTAGATGCGTATAGACTGTTTTACCGATTTATTAATTAATTGGTAGCCGATGTGATACAGGGTATTCAATTAATAGAAGCACGTACATATGACGAACGTCTTAAAACTAAATGAGAAAATAAATTGATTCAGTATTTCTGTTCATGACGAAAGAATGTCAGTTGTAATTACATAGGCCTCTTTATATTAATTATGTATGGCGAAGGGAAAATTCTATTTTTGAGAGGGATTATTAATTATAATTGAATGTTGTCTCGTTGTATTTAAAAAGACGATAAACGGACTGACACGTCGTTTTAAAATATTTATTAACACTGTGTCTATTTTAGAAACGAATTTCAATAAGTATATTATCAAAAGAGGAATATTCAATATAATTTTAGTAACGGCAATTGGGTTCAAGATTTGTAAATTAAATGATATTACAATCTTGTCTATATTTTTGCGAAAAGAAAATTAGACTATGACGAAATATACCAATTAAATATTGATGACAATGCTTAGAAATGATAAAATATACTTTTCAATAATGTCACGTCTATCTTAATACAAAACTAATAATAGACGTTACTTTTCTATTTTAACCGATTTTTATAATATAGAAAATTATGATCAAGTTTTTCACTCTATTTAATTTAAAGCAATAGAGGTTGAATTTTTGGAGACTAGCCCAATAAATAGGGGTTGCGGTTAGTGATCGGCTATTAGCAAATACTGTAGGATGCGCTTATCGGCCTCATTAACCTGCCAATTTAAGCAGGTGGCTCACGTCAAAAAATAAATTGCTCAGCGATAGCGTTATTTATTTTGTAATAAATTATATTCTGGGGTAGGCTAGTTTTAAAGGCTGCGATTTAATTTTTTATAAATCTTAGAAATATAGCTAAGGAATAAAGGGGGTTTTACATTGAAAATGTGCTCCTCAGATGGCAATATATCGAAAAAACGCCACGATTTCAGTTGAAAATTTATCCAATCCAATTTCGGTATTTGGAATTCCAAATTCGGTAATTAATTTTGAATTATTTATTTCTTCCTAATTTGAATGGGACAAAACGTAGAAGAGGTAATTATTTAAATAGGCTACATAATTAGTAACGACGCGCTAGGTTCAACTATGTTTTTGGCTTGGACTTTTCCTGGCATATCAGCCAGGAAACAATTGCGTTTCATTGGGGAAACTCAGAAAATTGCAATGGAAATTGGTATAAAAAAGAATAATTAAAAATTAGTAACCATTATGATTTTCAATTCTTAAAACAAAATACATAACACTTTAAACCTAATACATATTTTTTAACAAAATAAAATATGTGGCAACGACCTCTTCTAACACCTCTTTTAAAATGTCAAAAACAAAAAACTCGAACAAAAATCAAAAGAGATTATTTTGGGCCGATATTTTTATGTCAATTCCTATATTAATTGCAAAATAAATAAATATCACACTCCCATAGTCACCTTAATTACATATTGCCGTAATTATTATGACATAAATTCACAGCGCATTTTTTCCGGAGAACGTGGGTACATATGTCTTGTATTTATTCCAATTAAAGTTATTTATATATTGGAGGATTAATAATACAATGTTTGTGTCAACGCCAAACATTTTTCTTCTCTTCTAAAAGTAGAAATAGTAATTTCTACTTTTTCTTAAGAAAAAATTTATAGAAAAATGCTTACCTTCCCAAGTTGGTGTGTGATCCTTTGGCCATGAACTTTTACAACTTTATTACCCTCTAATGTGTACGAATAATTATATAAATTTACAAACTAAAATATGTAAAAAGCGTAATTTGTAATTAAAAAAAACGTCATTCAAATTAAAGTACAACATATGACACGAACAATACGACGCTACGATTCACACACATTAAATCTTAAAACGCTGGTAAATAACTCGTAATCACCTAAAATGTAATTTAACGTCAATTAATTAACGAGCAAATTGACGAGAATTTTCGATTAACCACTGCATTTAACGGACAAATTGTAGCCACATCAATTACACGAACTACTGGCCAACGTTTGGAAGTACACTTCGGGGCCAAACCGGTGTTATGATCCTTTGACAAGGGCTTTTCATCACATATGTTAAATTGTAATCGATTGTATCGAAGGACAAAAGCTAACCAAATATCCGTACATAATGGTTCAAACCGGTAACAAATATTCTTGTTATTAATTTCGAAGTGTTGCATCGTTCGTTCGCCGAAATTTAGTCGAAAATTCTTGGAAAATGAAAAGCGTATCGAAGCTGTGTTTGCTGATGAATTAATAAGTTGTTTCCAACTTGGCTGACCGCAAAACTTACTAAAGTGAAACGTTTTACAGTTTCACGTCAAATTTTCAGGAACTGAATTTTGTTTGGACATTTTAGACAGTCGGTGGTATTGATTTTATCAGAATCAAATAGGTTTTTAAATAAGTATCTTTGTCAGTATATGTCCGATCAACTGTCGATTCGGGGATGTAAAATATAATAACTAGAACTTTTGACAACTTGGGGATGGAATTTGAGACTCATTACTGGAAAATTACTCCCAATGGCTGTGACGCCTACGAAACGACATTGGTACTTATCCGTCCTTATTATCTATCCCCAATATACATTACACACCAACGGCCGGTAACAATCCACTTCTAGACTATGGGTCTTCTTAACATATGAGAGGTTTGCCATAATTTCCACCCTTCACTGGTAAATTGAAGGCTCAGGTTCATCAGAAAGCGTTGCTGCCTGGTCCATAACCAGGTCTCTCAGTTCTCACGACACCTGAAGATAGATGATGTCCAATGTATTCTACGCTGCAGTAACCACACGGCACGCAATTATTACCTCTATTAAGAATCGGATTCTATTAGGACATCTTGTGCCCACTGGAAGGGGTTTACCACCACAACTCTATGACGTAGGGAATTTGGTTATGACCATCGTTATATTCAGGAAGTGGGCATAACGAGCGGTTACGTTTCCTAAGATTGAACATAGATTGTTACATATGAACATATACAGAACAGGACTGCGGTTACTTGGGAAGGTTCTTCCCATTACCACCATTCTAGTCTGTGGCCAAAAGTTGCTGCCTATCAATGATGTTTTGATATTTTATTGGATTTATTAGGACGTCTGTTTTTTGTAACTCCAAGAAGATGTGATTAGGTCCAAGTTACCTTAAGCACTCTTTTATCTCAGTATCGAGTACATGAGTATTATTAAAGTATCAAAAACAGTAACAAGTCTTAACAATATTATATCATCGCCTGTCAATTAGCCACAACGTTAGGTACCTTAACAGGAGCCACCTTCTCGATGTATATGACTATACGATAGCTTAGCTGACTGATAGCCGTGCGACACGTCCCGTGTCCCTTTAATATTAATACCCACATGACATAGGGTTAAGCTGCGCTGTATATTAGGCATTTATATTCATACATATCATGGTTTGTGTCTGATTGGTGATTTTACAAAGAAGCCAACGTCACATAGTAGGTAATAGTTTTATCACCAACACGTGAATATCGATTAGTATAATAAGAAAAATTTGTAAGTACCGTGCGCATACGCATGTTTCTGTCAGTAGATTCATCTAAATTAAAATAACTGACATAAGAAGTTGCTTAATAAAATAAATTATAAAAAAAAGATTAGTTTACAATAGCAATTTCATACAAATATTTAATGCGCTGACAGACAGCCAGGTCAACAGATGTTGACATCGGTACAATGTCCAAACCAAACATGGAAAAACTATAAAAATACTGGAAAAATGAATTATAAAGAAAATTCAATTTCACACATGTCATGTGACCAACAGTTTGACGACACAATGCAGAATCACTGTAACGTAAATCTTCTTTAAAAATATGAATTATTTTTATTCTGTGGATTTTTATACTGCCCTCCAATATGCAAACTGTGCATAGTATCTTTATTTATTTCCGCGGGGTTTCCGTATTTATTTTTATGCTTGCACTTTGATCCTAATGAGTGCAGTGTCTAAGCTATCTACTTGTCATATCGAAATAGACACCTTAGCATTTTACAACGTCTAGATCATTCCGATTGTTAAAACTTTGCCCGAATGTTCTATCGGAATCAGTATGAGGTCCGATTTTAACGCCTGTCAGATGCATTCTGTAGACGATCGATATTCCGCTGTTGAACGTTAGTGAAACGGTTAGGTAGGAAACAAACCTACATAATTTTACCCAGTATTTTCTAGAAAAAGATAGTTTTATAAAGTTCATTAATGATTTGTTCTAGTTAGGTGTATTACTCTCTTTGGTAAACCTGAACCTTTTAAGCCATGTTCTCCAAGCCCGCCTGCAGACGGTGGAGATTATGGTAAACCCTCTTCCATACTGGAAACCTACTTTCCGTCGGTGGACTGCCATGGACCGCTGATGAATTTTCAAGTACCAAAATAATTTACATTTTAATGCATACTCAAACAAAATTCCTGTACATCTTCCTACACGTAATACAAAATGCACATCAGATATTTTAAAATATTTAATTCACATTTATATTACTGCAGTTTTATTACAAACTTTAAACGGATTACATTTCATAAAAATTGTAATTAAAAACGTAAATAAAATGTGATTTAAATATTCGCTGTAGTGCACAAATATAAGGATACGTGTCACTGAAATGTCTATTTCTTTTTCAGTGCAAAACCAGGAAGTCGTTAGATGTGAGTAACTTCCTTTGCTATTAAAGCTTTAAAAATATGTATATTTTTCTTTATATTTAACTTTTAGCCTTTCGTATTATTTAGTTTCGTGTTAGGATAATGATGGATGTTTTATGCAGGTCACAAAAAGTATGGTTCCTTTGCCTTTCATTTCTTTATAAAACAAATACGTAACATTTAGGAAATGTAATGAACGACATACGTGCATACATTAGAAGTTAGAATAAAAATATAGATATTTTACTAAACATTAACTCTATTTCTTGCATTTCGAGAGAATTATATGAATACCAGTTTAGATCATAGATAATGGGGCGCCTGGGGCCTGCAAGGCATAGTAATTGAAACATTGTTTGTCAAGGAACGTTTTCCTACGTTCCTTGTCTTTATCTAAGAAATGATAAAAATATTTTCTTATATCTTGCGGTTCGAGTGAAATACCGAGTATTCTTAAGACTAGAAATAGGAAGGAATGTACGAAGAATTTTTCATATTAGTGCCGGTTTGAAAGCATGGGGAATCAAAACTTTATGCGACCTGCCTCTGGTGTATTAAGAGAAAAAATGTTTTATACGAATGCTATGTCTCAATTATTGTATTGTTTGCAAGACTAGCATTATGTATTTTGCTTTTCAATAAATATTTGTGCAGCTACCTTTGCAATCAAGGTCTCTAAATAGTATAATATAATAATTTATATACACATATATATACATATATATACCTCTATATATACTCGTATTTAGTTAATGGATTAACTCTATTAATAATAAAATTATAATAATAACGAACCCACGTGACGACAATTTGTGAAAGATGAAAAAGATAAAACAAGTAAATATCTTGATTTATGAGATTGTCGATATGTGGGATGTGGATTCAGCACTCATTGTGCTTTATAGTAGTATCTGGTAATGGCCTCATAAGTCAAAACCTCGACCAGCACCTGAGTAAGCTAGCGTTAGATGGTTGGTACGCGGGCCTGATGCAGAAAGCAGTGCTTCTGGACACGGTGCGTCTTATCCAGAAATTCCTGTCTCTAGAACCCTGACCGCTGGTGGCTTGGATTTCTCCCGTTACTGGTGCGCTACTGCTTTTTCTATTATTAAATGTTATTTATAATTAAATATTTTAAAATGTAATTAACAAGTTTAGTAGGAAAATGAATGAAGATCACAACATAAAAATTATAAAAAGAAATTTAAAAAATAATGCCACGGTAATTTAATTCGTAACTAAAACAAGAATGAAAATTGACAAAAAGAATGTTTGAAATTACGTGGTAGTGTAGAGATGAAAGAAACATACAATACATGCGAGAGTTGTGCCCAAACTAATGGGTAATGATGATAATATTATTTATGTACGTTAAATGTATTAAATTACACACCCCTATCGATACAGCTACATAAATTTTGAGATATACTTATTACTATAATATCATTAGCTGTTTCAAAGAATTCATATTGGTTCTATGTGACACTAGTCAAAACCTGATGACAAATATGTTTTATCATAATAATTTTAAATATTCTATAGACGTAATAGATTCATCCGAATATCCGATCCGTTATAACAAATGCGACCATTTGTTTAATAAAATTTTCCTAATAACACTACAAGGAGGGATAAAATGTAGCATAATTAATTTTAATATAATATTTCAGACTAAAATCTAGCTTTGCGCCAATTTTCATCAAAATTTGTCAGTTATTGAGTAACTTTCATACATAATTTCGCATTTACACCAATAATATTGATATAACCCCAATAATATTAATAGGTACAGTCAGCATCAAAAGTTGATGACTACATTTAAATTTTCAAAATCGCTGTACAACGTATTATACCTAAATCGCTCAACATGACAAGCGCCAGAAATGAATGATTATCATAAAAGGGCATAAATAGGTGACCATTACTTTTCAAAAGTCGCTAAACAAAGTTATAGTAAAAAAAGCAAAACATTCTTCGTCTCTAAAGTTTCTGAACAAATTTTAGACAAAAATAGCATACCATCGTTTATCTCTAAAGTCCCTGAACAATCCAGAGCGGCGTTGGAGGCCGTCAAGCGCGCCAACTCCCGCCGCATCTCAGCCAGCTGCTCGTGCTCCCCGCCAGCGGTGGGCAGCGTGCACTGCTCCAAGGCCGCCGACAAGATGCTGGCCCCCGCTTTGTTCATGAGGGCTTGCCTGGCCTGCTGGGACTTCTTCCCAGCCACCCTACGAAGCTCCTCCCAAACGGTCTGGCGAAGGCCCTCGGAGCCGCGCTTACTCTCGGAGCCGGGCTCGCCCTCCGACACCTCCATGGCGGAGGATTCTGAGAGGGCAGCGCTCAAGAGAGCCCTGCCCTCCTCAGCCAGTTGCCCGGCTGGCTCCGCGCAGGCGGCGGTTCCCGGTTTCCGGCGACCGCCGCCCTTGCCACCCCTACCCCGCGCCGCCGTGGGGACCTTAGGGGGAGGCGCCTCCTGCGCGCCAGAGGACGGGGACAGAACGTCCTCCTCCAGTCTGGGACGCTTACACGTCCCCGTCACGCGACGGCGTGAGCTCTCCGAGCTCACGCTCAATCGCTCCGCCAGCGATGTGTCGGACTCAGAGTCCGACCCCCTCCGACTTGACTCCCGTGTGTGGGGCCTGCTGGACGAGTCCAGCGCCTCACCACGAGTCCCAGAGCTACTTGGGCTCCCTTCACCCGCTACTGCAGGCGAGCTAAGCTCACCCGCACTCTCCTCCTCCAGATGTGGTTTTTTATTTTTGTTTTTTAGATTCAACGCCATAAAGTTCCCACGAGTATGGGGGAAATATTCGGTCCACCCAGGCAGTGCCCCCTGTACCTGGGTAAGTGAAAATTTGTTTCCCAACTAGAGGGTCCACTGGTCCCCTAGCTGGGGGTGCGCTCACGACTGACACTACTCCTCAGCCATGCATACTCTCGCCGCGCACCAGAACTTAGTATTGGAGGATTTTTTTATAGAGGTTATCTTCCTCGCGGTCCGGGCGACCAAGCCAAGACCCTCGTCCCGTTCAGAGTCACAAAACATGACCGTGACCTCCTTACGGATTACGATATCGACGGCTGCAATCGGGGACAGCTTGTGTCCCGATGCTGCTCGCTGGCAGGGTGAGTGCACAACGAGCACCGCCCTT